ATTTTGCATTAAATGTCTCTTTAGTATAGATTTTTGTTTTATATAAATATTTTATTTTTCTAGGGAATGAAAATAGCTTGTACACATTTTCAGTGTGCTGCTTGGGCATTTCAGCACATAAGAGAAAATTATGCTATGCCTAAAGGATGTGACATGTCACATGATCTTCTTACATTTTACATTAATGTAATGTTAGTAAGTATCATCTTAGCTAACCATTCTGATTTCAAAAGACCATTACTAAGAATTTTTTAATTTTATATATTTATTCCAGAATAAAAATCTAAGATTAAAATCCTTAAAAATAACCTAAAATAATTTATGTTTATATTTTTAAGATGAAATTNAATATTTTAATTAGGCTCAAGCACAAGAATGTATTTTAGAAAAGTCTATGTTAGACAGCCGTAAATCTCCTATTATTGCAAAAGTTGCGGCTCAAGTGGTAGAATATTATCAAACAGCTCTTGCAACATTATTAAGTGGAAGTAGCAGTGTTGAAAGTGGATGCATTCTACATATTGTAGGATCAAAAATATTTAAAGTAAGTTTTATCTGATGATGATTTGTTTAAAAAACTGCTTTTTGTTTATTCATTAAAGTAATTTAATTTATTGCTTTAGTCTTGGAAAAAATTTGTAGAATTCAAAATTTCTTATTATGGAAGTATTTCACATCTTTATATGGGAAATCAAGCAGAAGAACAACAAAAAATGGGAGATAGAGTTGCTTGGTACCAGTCTGCTTTTGATAAACTTGAAGAAGCTATAAAAATTTCAAAGGTGCAGTTGAATAAACTTTATTCAAAACTAATTCAATACAGATTTCAAATTTAATCTTATAATTAATCATTTATTTGTTTTATACTATTATATAATAGTAGTCTTGATTTCTTTAAGTTAAACTATTTCTTTTTTTTTTAATTCAGTATTATAAGTTGAGACCATGCTCCTGAAAATACAAATTTCAAATATATAATAAATCACACAAACATTGCTAAAAAAGAAAAAACATTTTATGTATTTAAAATGTTTATTTAATCATAAATAAAAGAGAGGAAGTTGTAAAGCAGAGATCTACTGTATATAAATTTCATATAGTTAGTCCTATTCACACTTACAATATATTACTAATATGAATTCTTTTAAAATAAATTTCAAATTTTTTAAAAGTGTCAATTATTTTTGACAACAATGTCTGTCTTGCTGTATTCCAAATTATGTTCATATCGTATTCCTTTTTAACAAATCTCCTTTTCTTTCAATGATATATATTGTATTCACTAAATGCAATTTGAAAATTTATGATTAATTTTTTTATTCATTTAAATTTGGATGTAATTATAGAAAATTTATATTCAGTAATGTTACATATCACTAAAATTAATGCTAACTAACTGTTTAATGCTAAAAACTTGTTATAAACAATAATCAGAAAACGAAAAATTCATTAAAAAAAACTATTAATTAAACACATGGTTCAGTTTATTACTAAAATCCAAAACTAAATATATTTCAAATTTATTTCCAGAACAATTCTCTAAACAATGTATATCATGTAATCATCAATTTTATTTTGTATTACTGTCTTACAGTTGGCCGTAAAAATATTTCAATCTCTCTATTTCAATATGGTCATTATTATCTGTTGCCTATACAAATAAACAAATCCTGGTTGTCTACTGATAAGAAGAGTGAAATTGGTAATGACCAACTGTAAGATGTAATATCACAAAATAAAATAATGATTGCAAGATGTATGTTATTTGTATTGTTCCAGAAATAAATGTGAAGATGGATAACACAGTTTCAGTTATTCAAATAATTTAAATGTATTTTATTCAAAAAGCAATGTTTACTTGGCAAAGTTTTTCTGATTAATATTATGAAATGCATACAAAGTAAAAATATATTTAGCTTTCATTTATTTTTTATTCTACATTTTGAATCTGTTTTCAAATATGGAATGGATGCACATTAATTAGCTTGGTCATCTAGATGATTAAAACATAGATAGTAAAATTTAAGTTTGTTTAGTGAAATAATAATCATCTAGTTATACATAAGAACATTGTTAGATCATACATTTCAATGGTGCAAATCTCTTGATTATTTTGCTGAATGCAGAATATTTTTAATCTGTTAGCTAGCCATGTAATAGAATTTTGAATTTTCAGTGAAGATATTTTATTAATAAATTAATTTCAAATAGAAATATTTTAAAAGAATTTGATACTAAATATATTTGAAAAGAAAAAAATTCAAACTTGGCGTCAAATTATACCTTATACAAATCAAATATTTAAGATATTTTATTTGTGTAGTGTAGTATAGGTTTATTCGATAAGTGTAAAATTTACTTGATAAACAATATAATTATTATATCGTAAATTTTTTAAAACTAAATTGTATATAAAGTTAATCATTTTTATTTATATAAAGAAAATAAATTAAAATTTTTTTCAGACCATGGAGAGAGATGATTTAAATGAGGCCTTATCATTCACTATGGATGTAATTGGCAACAAGTATGTTAGCAATTTTTAATTAAAACTTATTATTTTAATTGATCTTTTGTTTATTGTAATTAAACTTTTTATCTTTTTGTAGACAAAACATTGCCAAAAAAGAGAATGATTTTGTATACCATGAAAAAGTTCCTGCAATAGAATCTCTTCCAGAAGTTAAAGGAGCATCATTAGTTAAAGGAATTCCATTTAGTCCAACAGATCCTGATGTTTCTGGTCCAGATATTTTTGCACGATTAGTTCCAATTGAAGCTCATGAAGCATCATCAATGTACAGGTAAAAGTTAAAGCAGATTTATAGGATATTTGACAAATTTGAATAATTTTCTAATAATTAGAATTCTCACTTTGAATTAAAAATATATAAATTCTTCATAACTTCTTTCCTCCATAAAGGATTTTTTGTCTACACAAAACTCCATTTGTATATCATTTGTGTGTGTAATTTTTAGAAATTTACTGTTTTCTTGATTCTAGTGTGCCATTAAATTTAATGCACATTCAATTTTTGAAAGATCAAAATGCAAAAAACAAAGTTTAGTTTGTGAATATAATGCATGCCCTATATAAAAATTGTAGCTTCAAAAAAGTTAATGTATTTAAACAGTAATAAGAGCATTTTTTAATAAGGTTTTATTTTAATGTTTTTAGTACTTCGTGATGTCCTCATTCTGAAATGTATTCACTTATGACCCCATCATTAGGTACAGAGGATCTGAAAACCAATGCAAAATTGCAGTCAAAATTACCACAATCAATGGTTAACAGCAAGATTTCTTTTCAGTATACACAAGCATAAAATTTACCAAATACATAGTATCATACTAAACTATCTGTATACATGTTGTTCAGGATAACTCTCTGCTTAAACATAGCTTTGTAGAAGATTTATCTGTAAACCAAAATTAAAACTGAAGTAGTGGAATACAACATTGATATAGACATGGCACAGTACATGTCCCATGTACTGTGCCATGTCTATATCAATGTTGTAATATATTTGAATTGCCAAGCAGAGTGAATAGGAAATGACACTGTGTTAAGCCAACATTGTGCTTGATTCTAATATTCATTCCAGTTTTTGAGAACAAAAAAGTCCAGAAAAGGTATGCATTAGAATTGGAAAATGTAGTATCTGTATCTATTTGGTTTTAGGATTAAGCCAAACAAGAGTAAGCTTAGTCAGTCTCCTTGAAAAATTCCTTGCTTTACAGTGATTGTTTTAACCCTTGCCTGACTGACTTCCAGTTAATGTGTATTTTGTAAGTTGACTGATGTCAGTCAAGGACACTCAGGCAATGTCATTTTAAAAATGTTAGCCAGAAGTTTGTGGCATACCAGTCAGGAACCATTGGTGTAGGATTATTGATTATTTTTTTTAGATTTTGTATGTATTATGTATTTTTAGATTTTTGGTATGTCCTAGGGATTGTTGACTGTATGTAAAGGATTTGACTAGCATTAGTGACAACTTTTTATACCAAAAGTTCTAAATACTTTTTTACATCAGTAAGTGTATTCAATTGTATTTAGATAGATGTTTCTCTTTACACAGGGATAGTATGTTTTGTTTTGTTTGGTTTGTTCTTTCTCCAACCCATGTTCGGTCATTATGATTAACAGTAATTAACTAAAGGGAAGACTAATATTTTTTAAATTCTTTTGTTTATAAACTATTATTCTGTGATTGATTTTTAGAATGTATTTCTCTGTGTAACAGTTTTTCATTGCTTGTGAATAATTATCATTAAAGATAACTTTCAAATTTAAATAAGTAANTGAAGGACAAGTTTCACTCATTCACAATTTTTTCTGTTATTCTATGGAGCTAGATGGCTTAGACTAATCTATAGTTGATGTAGGAAAAACACTTAATGAAAAACTTCCACTACTAACTCCATATTCACCAACAAGAGTTAGATTTAGGGTTAACTCTAACTAACTCATGTTGGTGAATTCGGGAGTAAGTGGTGTGCATTGTATAAAATTGGAATGTTTTATAAAAATAACTGCAGGCAGAAATTTATCAGTTGATAAAGCTTTATTACGTTTTATAAATGATAATCCCAAGTCAAAAATATGTAGAAATGGCAAAATAAGTACAAATTAAAGTGTTTGTAGCTTTTTTTTTTTTTTTTTTTTTTTAAATGTTAGTTTGTATGATTGATACGTATTAGATTTTTTTCCAATTTAATAAAAGGATATTTCATTATAATTTTTAAAACTTTCTTTTAATGATTATTCTGTTAATTTTTAATGTTAGCAAAAGTACAAAGTAATAAATCCAAATACTTAACTTTACCATACAATGGGTTGAATATATGACACGAGATTGACTTACTTCAACCAAATAACCGGAGTGCTTATGTTCGATAACTGCAAATGTTATCAAAGCCCCTTCTGGGCTCTTCTTCAGGCTTCTATCCTCATTCCATTCAAGCTGCCTGTTAATATTCAAACATAATTTGAAAGGTATTCGATTCTGGATATGACACACGCATGTGTTCCAATACTTTTAAATATCGAACAACACAATTAGTTTTGAAATGTGCATGCATTCCACTTTACATCCAATTGTAATGCTGAACCACCTGCATTAATTTTAAAGAGGAGATTTCATTTTCAATGGTGTGGCAGGTCCTACTGGACAACAGCATTTAATTTTACGGATGTAAAGTGGAACACATGCACATTTTGAAACTTATCACGCTGTTCGATATTTAAAAGTATTGGAACACATGCACGTGTCATATCCCGAATCGAATACCTTTCAAATTGTGTTCAAATATTAATGGTTAGCTTGAATGGAATGAGGTAGAAGCTTGAAGAAGAGCCCAGAAGCAGCTCTTCTTCAGGCTTCTACCTCATTTGCAGTTATCAAACATAAGCACTCCAGTTATTTGGATAAAGTAAGTTGATCTTGCATCATAAATAAATCCAAAATATCATGGCCATAAATATTAATTCTCTTCTTTGAAAATAACCACAAATTCCCAGTCTTCATAGGCATTCATAGGTTTAACCTCCACTCTGAAAACTGTTAAAAATTACAGTTAAAGATTATTGTTTGGATTAATAAAATTTTGTCTGTGTATAGTATTCTAGGTGTTGCAACTCTGTTCCACATTACTTCATAAAGCTCTCATATATGTTGCAATTTATGCTAATTTTTAAGACTATACAGTAGTTGCCAAAAGTAGAGCTATCCTTGATGTATTTTTTAAAATGTGACCTCTATTTTGTTTACCACCTACTACATAATTAATATTGTGATAGTTGAAAAGAGCACAAAAAAAAGAGCCAAAATACTCAATTCAATCAAACAGATTTTATTTTAAATTTGATTTAAAAAAGAAAAACAAACTTTATATATTTTACACTGTGACAAAAGTAGAGCTATCAAAGGAAGTAAGCAGATTTGTCCAGTATTTTGTGGCCTAACCAGAGCTTCTGATTACTGCATCACATCTACATTTCGTTGAGTCAACTAAGTTGTCTCGAGGAATACAATTATCAAATGATATCAAACAAAGAATGGTAGATATGCATTTGAAGGAAAAAAAAAAAGACCTTTAGTGAAATTGGTAAAATCTTTAATGTGCATAAAACTGTTGTCACAAAAGTGGTGAAGCATTTTCAAATATATGGGACCATTATTTCTGACAAAAAGTCAGATAGGCCACGAAAAACAACACCACAGTTGGATTGTTTGATCAGGCATATTAGTGCAGCCAACTCTTGTTTGATTGCTTCACATATTAAAAATGAAGTGGGTAACCCAGATATAAGCTTAAGGACTGTAAGAAGATGTTTGACTAGTTTTGGATTACATGGGAGGCAACCAGCAAAGAAACCATCTATCTCTGCAAAAACAAAAAGTTGAGATTAGAGTTTGCACACAAACATATCACTTGGACCAAACAAAAATGGTCCAAGGTGTTATGGAGTGATGAATCTAATTCAATGTCTTCTCTAGTGATGGTATACAATATATCAGACAACCAGTGAACATGAGATATTATCCAAAATGCATAGTTCCTGCAATAAAGCATGGTGGTGGTTGCATAATGGTATGGTGACATTTCTCTGCAAAGGGTCCAATTCATAGAATTAATGGAATAATGTATCAAACCATTTATCAAAATATATTGCAGAATCAAATGCTTCCTCATGCATGTCATTCAATGCCAAGGGAATGGATCTTCCAACAGGACAATGACCCAAAACACATAGCAAATTTGGTAAAGCAATGGCTTCAACAGAAAAAGGTGAATCTTATGATAGCCCAATCACCAGACCTAAACCTCATAGAGAATCTTTGGGATAAATTAAGTGTCGTATATGCCAGTGTACATATTAGAATCAAGATGAATTGTGGTCTGCCATCCAAAAAGCAAGGTATAAGATTCCCCAGTCAGTATTTGTAAACTTATTTGATTCAATGGAATGTAGATGTGATGCAGTGATCAGAAGCTCTGGTTACACTACAAAATAGTACAGCTACCAAAGAAAGTATGCAGAATAGTCCAGTATTTTTAAGACAAAATACTGGACAAATCTGCATACTTCCTTTGATAGCTCTACTTTTGTCACAGTGTAAAATATAAAAAATTTGTTTTTTTCTTTTGTAAATCAGATTTAAAATAAAATTGTTTGATTGAATTGCGTATTTTAACTGTTTTTTGTGCTCTTTTCAACTATCACAATATTAATTATGTAGTATGTGGTAAACAAAATAGAGATCTCATTAAAAAAATATGTTAAGGGTAGCTATACTTTTGGCCACTACTGTATATATATTAAATAACTATAAATAATAATGCTACTATCTAAAATAATGTGGAGCAAATTAATAAAATCAAATTTTAAATAAGCTTCATGTTTAACTGGCATCATGACATTTATGAAATGTCAAGAGTCAAACTTAGATGATTTATATGTTACTGTGAAAGACCGAATTTAGAGACTGTTGATATTCTCCAATGAATGTTGACACATACAAAATACTTTGGTGAAAGACCGAATATTTAGTTATATTGTTATACATTCGAACAATCGTCAGTGTATGTTGACAAGCACAGATAAACTTTGGTGGAGGTCAAAATATCACCCGAGAAGCCGATACCGACCGAGAGGCGACAGTCTGTCGCCAAATCCTTTGTGTGTAGCCGGAGGTAGGACAAAGTCGTATCTCTTTTCCTGGCAGCGATTTGGTGGAACCCTTCCACTTTGTCACTGGATGGCATTTTTGTTCTTTTGATCCCATGAGGTGGGGAT